GACATCGCAAAGACACAAAAACAGAACTTACTTATTAGAATATTTAAAAATGAAACGCCATTAAAGTTTTATCAATGGTACGAAATTACTGTCAACATCGTCTGCTTATTCCCTCTTTCATTCTAAGTTCCTTTCTACCAAGAAATATGTTTGAATATGAAATGCGACTTGTAATTCATATTTAGAAAACGACTGTCAGAAACTGTCAAACTTTAAGCATATTTTCTTTTTAAATATTCAAACTAAATCATATAATACATATCGCAGTTAAATTGGTCTTATTCATTTTCCATCTGTGTCATGAAAAGTTATAGATGCTGTTTGAAAATGTTTAACCCTAATCCTACAGGGATGTGACTTAAGGTTACGTACCAAATTATAAAATACATAAGATTAGGGTTAAGTAACTTTGAAGTGTTCAATTTAAAAACATTTTTTTCGTTAAAAAGTATCACATTCGATATTTTTGAAAAGTACCAGATGCTGTATGTGTATTTCTAATTACCGAATGAAACCTCGAAACCTGTTCGCGCGTACGACGTTGTCAGCTCGCGAGCTCACGGTGGCAAGCACCAAGCAACAGCTGCGCGTGTGTACGTGTATATGTGTCTCTGTGCATGGATTCGACATGTATGCCCGATCTTATCTCGGAATGTGGGTCAGACAGACGAGGAAAGCGAACTCGAGCCACCGCGAGCAGGAAACTCTGCATTCGGGACCGGACGAGACTTTCAACAGAGAACGAAAGAGAAGGTTGAAAAAGGAAGAGAAAAGGGGGTTGGGGCGAGTCAAGAGGCTAGGCCGGAGATAGTGCCTCGTTCTGATATCTCAAATCCATTTCTGGCTCGTGCCACGAACCGCGGACAACCGTCGACATCGTGATCTTCTTCGCTTCTTTCTGATTCCAGTCGCTCCTCCACCCCCTCGCCGCGTTCTCCCACGCAAACCCAACGAACGGAAAAATGTCGACTGCGCAGTTTCGTTGCGTTCCAAACGAATTCTAAACTGAATATGTTGCTTCTGAAATTTACTTTTTTGCTCGAATGAGTAGAATAACGATCGTGTCTCTACGCGATGGTATTACTGATTGTGAGACTCGAAATATTGTTTTAAATGTGTTTCAGTACTGATGTTTACGAATTTGAAAACACTACTAATTGGAAGTTCGAATCATGTTTAAGGGGTGGAAGCAGCCGTTAAATTTCTCAATGTTTATTGTACGACTGTTTCTGCAATATTGGCCTAAAAATATGAGGCACTTTTCTAGTACATAATCGACAAGAACCTGAATTTGACCAACATTTAGCGAAGAACTTTAAATCTTATTATCATCAGAAACGAAAAATAAGTTGGACACAGATTATGGAATCCGTAATATCGAGTATTACGAAATCAGTTTGCGTTTGCCTGCCTAATATATTCCGCACCAGACAGTCGTTTGTTTCCCAGAACAAATTCACTTTCGCCCCCGTCGACTGAAATGCCAGAAAAAAAGCCAAACCGTGGTCGTTATTACCAATTACCAAACCGTTAAATCTATTTACTTCATCGCCAGAACGAGAAACGATTTCAGGCAACTGCCACCACCTCGTAAATCACGCTCAAGCACCATTATCTGTCTCATACACCGAGCCGATGAATCGCGACGGCTATTATCGAAGCGATAGAAGCTGGAGAAGTTCGCACAATAACGCGTAATGGTCCGCGCAGCCTCGCCAAAGGTCGATAAAGGCTAATTAGCAGAAATCCTCGTCTCAGGTGGTCCTTCTACCAATTCCTAATCACTTAACCACCGGCGAGAAGGGCGTCTCGAGTATTCCGGAAGTTCAATGGGCGCTGAAGGTGGCGCGCGTGATACGTGGCCACGTTCAGCTGCCAAAATCCTGATTGGCTCCAACGGCTGCTCCAAAGTATTTGCCGACAATCCGACTACGTGACGTGCCACCCGCTCGTGCAAATATTGAGACTGCGCACTGATCATTTTCAAAATCATACCCCGACTGCGACGCGGCCCCCCAAAAGCGTAACGATCTCGCAACTTCCAACGATAAACTACGGAACAACCTATGATGTGGCTCGCGGATTCCATCCATCGATCTTTTCTCGCGATCTACTACACACTGATACGATCTGTTAATGTTTGGTGAGGCTAGTTCGATGTTTCCCAACATAGGACAATTTTCAATATTTTGGGAGCAACATTCATCTTCATCACCGATATAACAAAAAAATTACAATTGTTTTGTCCTATCAGATTTTTATAAGTCATGAAAGTGATAATAAAAGATAAACGAATCATTTAAAACTATACACAAAAGCACTTAATTGAATAAGAAAGCATATGTTTAGTGTTTGACACTTTGCTGCTGAGAACTTTTATCAGTATCTCTTTATAAACTTTAAATTACTGAACATTTTTTAATGTAGGCTATTATTACATAACACAAGGCAGCTGTAACTTCTTTATAAACCAGTATCGAACACAAATCAGCTAGTTTATGGTCAGAAAAAACATATTTAGGAAAATAGTCAAAACAAATACTTTGAGTACCTGAAGGAAGAAGAATCTGATTTTTTGAAGAATGTTTATAATACGCAGAGACACGAATGTCCGACCTTCCATAGTGCTATACTACTGAATCTCACGATAAATCATTATTACATGAGCACAGTCGAAAGAAACAAGAAACTTCATCTTTCCAAAAGTGATCCTGTAATATCTAAAAATCAATCTGAGGCAGTTCAGAGAAAGACTAGCTCTTGTTCAGATCTTAGGTTAAGACTGCTCAAGAGCCCCCACTTTATCACGTTCGTTCCAACTGGATAACGAAGCTTTTCATCACAAATAGGAAACCTAGATTTAAACATGACCTCTATCAGTAACTACCATTATTTAAATAAAGTAAAATAGCGTACTTTTGAAAAATTACATCGATATTTATATCGAAAGGTTTGAGCAACAACTCGAGAAAAATTCGCGCTACATAACGTGTAACGTAAATTATGGAATCATCGGGGGGATCATAGTGATCCAAATACGAATCGATCGTTGTTCGCCATTCATCTGGAACTCTATTCAAATAATAATATCCAGGGTGAACGCGTGAACGAAACGTCAGGCGTTTCGTGTCGCGGGAGCAATAAAGCGTACGCGGGAGGCGCGGCTATTAAAATTGCTGAAACAATAAACGGTGCGAATTGGCGAGGGCTCGGGCGCGTTCGTTGTTTCCACGATTGGCCCTGTCAAATTTCGCGTTCCACCGTGGCGTCGGATTAGACGACCGCACGCGCAGGAAATAAGCAGAATGCTGAATCGTATCGACAATGTGTCCAGCGCGGTACGCTCCCGCCGAAAATAATGATTCGACGGTCCCGTGACAATGATCACCGACAATGTCCGCTCGGTCCGTGACGAGAAAAGCACCAACCGTGCCCAATGATTTCGGCTACAATGACGAAACGTCCCGACGCGACGCGACGCGCCAGCCTGTCATTGATGTACGATTCGCACGTCGAATGTTTGTCACCGCGTGGGCCGTGCATCGTTACACTTAAAATAGAACCACTCAACTTGCCCCACTACGATTTTAATCTACTTTTACAGAATGGTAAATTACAGGTCTCCGTTGCTATCCGTAAAATCCTGGGTGTTTTGGGAACGTAAATATTATATCAGAATGTTCGAGTCGTGTTGAAAACGAACGTTAGCTACGATCTTTGTAGAAATGACATTTTTAGTAGATGTACACTTGTTTCAACAATTTTAGCTTTTCATATGAAATGGACTTGGTATTATCAAAGACGTGGCACAGAAATTAAGTATACGAAAAAGTTACAAACAGCTCTTTGTTATGAGATTGCTAAAAACATCTCTGACACTCAATTGTCTAGTTTTTGTTATTTCGATATTATATTGTAAAAGATAGCAAGTCCTGGTTCGATAAAGTTCACTAAAATAATTGTTTGTTGCTTGGCAGCTGGCCGATGTTAATAACACTATCTGGGTCAACATGTTTTATAAACTCCTCGGTTTCCAAAATAACAATCCTGCAAATCCGATTGTGTCTCGGAATATTATATTTTCGCTGCTGATAAATTTTTTCGCACCTCGTGGCAGTATTCTCAACCTGCTTTAAAAATGTCACCTATTTCGTTATAGAATTTGTTGCAAAATGAATGACGCCTCGGAAAATATTCTGTACCTTGGACCAAAGTGGTTTCACGAAAGAAGCAAAAAGTGAAAAATGTGACTGCAACAAGAAGGAAAATAAATATTTGGTAGGTACGTGATTTATTATGGTTCATACTATTTGCACCGTGACCACTTCGACGACAAAGATTGATATTCTATGTATTTCAAGGTTCGTAAATGTAATCAGTTATATTTCTGAAATTATTAAATCATTACGCTTAATATTTTACAGATAGCAACAGGGACTCTACCATCCTGCAAAGGTAGTTTAAAATAAAAAGTGTTATAAACGAGTCGAACGTTTTTGTTTTTTGGCAAAATATGCAATAAACACAGGATTCAAAGTGACACAGTATGTTTTACAATAAATATTTTATTTTATATTTCATTATATAGTACGGTTAAAAATGGAGAAGTTTTGTTTAAAATTGAATATTCACAGTGACCCACGAATTTGATAAAAATAATCATGTTATTGATCCCAACAGAGAAATTAAATCTTCCTCTATATTAATATTGAAAATAGTTTGTAACATAGTAATTTTATTGAAATTGCAGATTGATTATATATAGAAAGAATGATATACGAGAAAATAATTTATCAGCCAAATTTAATATTAGCAGAAGCTAAGCTGTATCTTCCAAGTTCCTCAAATCGAAACTCGCGATGAGTGATGCGTCTCACCCACAAGTCCGACGCGGTTCCTACGTTAGTGAGCCTTTCGTCGATTGAATTGCGTCATCCTGCGTTTATTGTACGCCTACCATTAGCATAATTGATAAGAATCTCCTGCGTGCAGGTACTCACCGGGCCAAACTGTTCGAAGTAATTTTTAACGTCCTCCAGCGTCGTCGGTGCCGATAGTCCACCGACGAATATCTTCTTTGTCCTTGTCACCATCTGCAAAAAAGAAGAAACGACACGTATTATTAATGGCGCCATAAAGATACGATCGAGTCTATAAGAGCCAGAAATTGTGAGGATGTCGCTGGAATGTATTTAAGATCGTGTTTATTAAGGTGGTGAAAAAGCTATCGTCGCGAGATCAGTAGAATTTTGTTGTTTTCCTGCGCATTACATTCGTTTCACCCTTTACAGTGTTACTCAAATTAAACTTCACGTGCTCTCAGAACCAAAAAGAAAAAACAATATTATATCGTGGAATGAAGAAAATGTTTCCAATAATAATTTATTCTCCTAAGATAGTCTTTTAACGATAATTCTTTTATTATTTTTATTTTTATGCATTGTTCTAGTGGATTAAATTTTTACGCACAAAATTAAAGAAATTGAAGTTTCAATATTACTTAGTTTGAGTATTAATTATTTGATCGAATTATACGTAACTCAAGAAATTATTTGAAAAGAATCTCTGAAATGAAATAACTCTACGTATAATTTTTAGTTGCATAGAGATTGTTAGATTTTCGTACAACTATAACTGGCAATATAAATAAATGAAAAACTTACATAGATCGTTTGCTTACATAGGCGTTTGAAAAAATTTTTAGGCAAAAGAGTATTTCGAATTTCTGGTCACGAAGTTTCTAAATATAAAACCGGTATTTCTAGGCACGTGTGGACGGTTTTTGTAAACTGCTATCGATCGACAGATATGTACACACGTCGGCGGTATCTGCACACGGCGCCGTCAAAATGTAGGTGTTCGTATTTGGCACGAAAAATGGAATGCACAGGAAGCAGAAACGATATTTTATTTCCTTTGCGAAAATGTGTCGAAATTCATTACCATATTTTCGATAAATTTTACTAACCGAGCGTCAAAATAAATTTTGTTAAAAGAGTTCACGCTGGAATGCACGTAAGAAACACGAATATCGCATTCACAGAGAAATCGCGCGATACAAGCCGAGGATGTAAGTTTCCCTTATGGAAGAAAAGCTTTGGGAAACTTTTTACTTTGATCTTCGACGATACGGTTGGCAAAAAAATGGCCACTGTCATGATTTTAAACAATAACCGACGTTTCTTTTATAAACGCGAGTTCTAAAAAATTTCCGCGCATATATAGAACCGGTATAGTTCCCTCCATTTTATTAGAATTCTTCTTACGTCGTGCTTTATCTGCAACTATTATAAGAACTAAATTTAAACCTTTGAAGGATCTTGAAAGGATCCCGCGGTACCATTTCAAAATATGTTTACCTTGCAGATCTACGGCTGCAAAAATGTGGCGGGAATAATACTCCTTTCAAAGCGTGTTTAGGGAGGAAAGAACTGAGAGGCTATGGCACACAGAGGGAATGGAAGGGACGGCTGAAAAATGGTACGGTCGTGCTTAAGAAATTGATAAGGAGCTGATAAAATATGAATGGCCCCGCGTCGAGCACACCATGCCCGTTTCCACGGAAAGGATCTTTTCTTGGACGACATTTTTCACATTTGTTTGAATCGGTAATGTCAATTCCGATCGCCGTCGTCCTACGGAACCATCCCCCATTCCGTGCATGGAAGAATGATTACACCGATGATTAATATTCGGTAAAATAATTGTACTTTAGTATTTATAACTTCATATAAAAGATTCCACTTTTAAAATAAATATTCTAGTTTGATCTCTGTAAAAGGAGATCCAAATATATCTCATATTAAAATTTTAATTTTGAAGTTAGACTGTGTAATTATAAACATGGTTTTCTGAATTATTTCTAACGAATATAACTTAGTTTAATCGTGAAGTAAGTAGTTAATTTTTTAATTACATTTCGTCATTTCACGAAGCAGCGAAAGGATTAAGGATCGCGCGATGTTTTATCACGAGACCGTCAAAGACGATCGTGTTGCTTCCGTCGCAACGAAATCCGTCAATCAAGGTTTCAGGGAGCACAGGGAATATGCAAGATACGAGACGTCGGATTTCCCTCGTATATAGTTTCAGAGATTCCGTTTTGAATGTAGCTCGTAGCTATACGCTCGATCCACTTTGGTCTCCTTATTCGTGGAAAACTTTTCAATATGGAAACCGCGTACTAGGCTCTTTGCTCCGATGCTGGTACGCTTTTCCGCGCTGCGTGTCACGGTGGAAGTACGCGTCGAAGAAAATAGAGACCTCGTTTCGCTTGTGTATACCAATAGCTTCAGGATCGTAATTGTGGCGTGTTGTTCGTCGCTGTTGGGACTTCTCGAAAGATGGGTTTCAGAAACGGAATCTGGAACGTCGGGGACACAACTACTATTGAGAAGTATCTGGTAAATATCTTAGATTTTTGGTTAAATGAAGAACGAAGGATATTTAATAAAATTTCTTAACAAAAGACTTTGTAATTTTTTAATCACGAATATTCTAACTTTTTTCGTCTTTGCCTTCAATAGCCATCGATACATATTAACACTAGAACTATCGACAATTATAGTGTATTTATTTGTCCCAAGGCAATTAAAACGATAGATACGTGGAGCCATGTATAATGCAATGGGAATAAATGTTTCGAGTCGAGAAAATTTTTTATAAGATTTTTTTATAAGAACTTATACAGGGTGTTCGACCACCCATGGGAAAAATTTTAATGGGAAATTTTAGAGGCCAAAATAAAACGAAAATCAAGAATATTAATTTGTTGATTGAGGCTTCGTTAAAAAGTTATTAAAAAATGATGTTAAAAAATTTCAAATTGTTTTGGAAAAATTATTTTCGGTTGTGGGGGCCAATTACAATCATTTTTGGTCAATAGACATACCCCCGAAATCCTACGCACTTGCGAGGAAAAAATTCCTTACCGAAAATACAATGTCTGACCATGAATGGATGATTCCCCTGAAATTCGGCGAAATTGAAAAGTTTCAAATCGTTCTAAAAAAATTATTTTTGGTTGCGGGGATCAATTACAATCATTTTTGGTGAATAGACATAACGCCGAAATCCTACGCATTTTCGAGAAAAAAATTCGAGTACATGCTGAAATTTTTCGGCGAAGTTAAAAAATTTCACATCGTTCTAAAAAAAATGATTTTGCTTGTAGGGGTCAATTACAATCATTTTTTATCAATACACATACCCCCGAATTCCTACGCACTTTCGAGAAAAAAATTCTTTACCGAAAATATAATGCCTGACCATACCATTGATATGTTTCCCTGAAATTTCATGCGTATGTTTAAAACATCATAACTTCTGAACGGATTGGGCGATTTTAATGTTTGAAAAGGCAAGCAACGCATATTTTGATGAAGAATATGTGGAAATTCTAAAAATATTCGAAAAGTTAATCCTTAACACCGTGAAGTGAGAAAAACCCCATAAAAGTGGTTCAATTTTCAAACGTCCATAACTCCTAGAATAGTAAAGATATCGCATTGAAATTTATTTGTCAAGTAGAGCTCATGAATACATAGAAAAAAGTATTAGACAATATTTCCATACAGCGTCAAACAAATTTATTAAAAATCAAAAACCGACAACAAATCGACAAGGGTTAGGTGCCTTCGGCGAAAAAACAAATTTTCAAATCGTTCTGGAAAAATTATTTTTAGTTACAGGGGTCAATTACAATCATTTTTGGTGAATACATATATCTCTGAAATTCTACGCATTTTCGAGAAAAAAATTCAGGAAAGTGGCCAAATGTTTCGACGAAATTGAAAAATTTTCAATCATTCTGAAAAAATTATTTTTGCTTCCAGGGGTCAATTACAATAATTTTTGGTGAATACACATACCCCCGAAATCCTACATACTTTCGAGAAAAAAATTCTTTACCGAAAATATACTATGTAGCCGGCAATGTTTCTATAACTTTTTAACGAAGCCTCAATCAACAAATTAGTATCCTTGATTTTCGTCTTATTTTGGCCTCTAGAATCTACCAATTAAATTTTTCCCAGTGGTGGCTGAACACCTCGTATAATGGGCCATTTTGACTGCTTTAGTAATTCTAGTGTTAAATCCACAATTAGGAATACATCATTCCCAAACGTTCAAAATATTAGTTCCAATCGAAGTTGACAAAGAGGATACAATATTTGAAAATACACTATCTTTAAAGTAGGAATGTCAATGCTTCGACTCGGATGAAGTAACGAATGAATAAATTGATTTAAAATTTATACAAACTAATTTTCTTAACCAAATTACATTTTTCTCTAACTCTTGCCATGTACGTATAGTCGTATCTCGAATGGATGCTTTCGAATTGACGAAGATATACATGTATCCTACTTTTCAGGCTTAGAAGATCTAAAAATGTTTCAAAAACAGAATACTGACGACTGGGTCCGGCACGCCTCTACTTACAATAGTTTTATGTACTGTGCCTCCGTGAGAAGTTGGCTAGTGAAAGGAATGCGGGTCTGATTGGTGCTCAGATCGCCACGTATCGTCGCCACTTGTCAACTTCTCACGTACGCACAGTATAGTGGACTTTAACTTTCACGAACTTCGATGACAATAATTTTTTATCAAAAAATATCAACCGTTTACAATCACATATGCACATTTTTAACCCTTTATTCCAATTGTTAGTATGTACGGATCTATCTAGTCTACGAATGAAAATTTTACAAATGCACCCCACGAGTAGCATGGCTTGGGTTATTTTCCTTGTACGTCGTAGAGATTAGCCAGCGAAAGGGTGAAATCAGAGAGTCGAGAAGGAAGCATCGGGCGAGAATGTCGTCGCTCGACGGGGATAACGGCGTTGCGGAGGAATCAGCACGGCGACATCGCGTCGCGGTGAAACTAATTACTGCAGAATGCTTTCACGGCGAGCACGGCAGGACCGCGGGAGCTGGGCGAGAGAAGAAAACAAGGAAAAAACGGTATTCAGATGGAACGTCTTAATAACACGATCGCAACGTAATAAAGCTCGCCGCGCGGAAAATTTCAGCCGGGATGGTAACTCGCGGGCGGCTGGGAAGAAGAAGAGAAAACGAGACACGCGGAG